ATAATTTGTGAGAAAAATTATTGATCAGTTGATAAAGTATTTGCTCTGTAACTTATAGGCATTGGCATGGTCTTGATAGGGCGGGTCTGGGATAAGGTAGTGATTATTAGTAAAGAATGCAGCTGAACAGGGTCTGGTATACAATAAGGGTTTCTAGGTCTCACCAGCACGCACCCACCCATCCAAGTCTATGGGCAAATCCTCAGAATAGCCCAGAGAAATAACCCAGTGGAGTTACTTAAAGTTCAACCCACCAAAATAATATAGCATTTATAAATTAAATATGGCGGAATCAAATTTAGGTTAACCCATTCGCCCCTGAACCGCCCGTAACCACCCGTGCGGATCCAGGTCCTTTCTACCCTTTGTGACGTCATCAGTTTTAACGGTCAAGGACGACTTTCTTCGCTAACTTGTGTAGAGTGAAGAGATCTTTCAAACCATACCAGAATGAGCACAATTCAGTCAAGGACACCGGAGAAAGAAGCAAAAAACCACGTGACATTGACCTGAGAATCTCCATGAAAATGTTGTTCCATTGCCCACCTACCTTTCCTTTCACCTAATCCTAAGATCCTAAAAGCTTTCCTAAAAACTCTTCCCACCAAAATGAAGCCTACTAAATGCCCAGCAAGAGAAAAAAAAAATGAGGCAAGAAAAGCGAAAAAAGAAGGGAAGAGAAAAAGCGAAAAGTAAAAGTCAAGACTGCTGTGTCACTTTTAAACCCAAAAACTATCTCGAAATTTTGCTTTCTGCGCATGCCCTAACTTCGCAAGCTGATGTTTTGCATCTGGATCAGAAGGCCGCCAAGTGTACGACCTGTAAACCGGTTTGTGATAAGTTTTAGCTCTTTATAGCACGACAGTGACCAGAAAACCACTCGACTAGCTTCAAAATGCGGTTTTCGACAAAATCTCCAGGAGCGAATGGGTTAATTTAAACTCAAGACATCACTAGCCACCAGTCTTTTCAACAGAATTAACAGGGGCTCTCATAACAGCTTTGCATGGGCTGGGTGAGCCAACTTTTCCTACATTTCCTTGAAAAATTTGAAAAAACCATTTTGATGAAAAACAAAAAGTTGGCTTTGCTTGAAGGGTGGTCTGCCTAGCAGCATCACCATTTTTCAGTGGTTAGGTCACCCAACTAGCTGTGCCAACTTTTCTTGAAAAACACATTTCACGCCATTTTCATTCAACCAAAATTCCGGTTAGAAATTTCCGACTCAACGAACTCAATGAAATGGTACAGTCTGGTTAAACAAACCCAACCACATGTTTGCTTATTGTACTTGTAGGAAGAATACAAAAGAGGAGTAGTGTGCAAAACAATTTTGAAAAATGGAAAGGGAATGGGAATGGACCAGGTCAAAGTGGACCACCTTCAAAGGTAAGGTAAAGGTGCAGGTGCCCAAACGGCCAGAGCTTATCCCGGTTTCCCTAACAAGAAGCATGCCTAGGAGTATTGCTTCTCCCCTCTGGACGAGATGCTAGACCATTGCAGGGTTACCCTCCAGCAGTATGTCACTGGTACCCATTTATACACCTGGGTGAAGAGAGATAAGGTGGAGTAAAGTTCCTCGTCTAAGGAAACAACATGACAGGTGAGGCTTGCACCCCAGACCTCCAGATCCAGAGTTCATGGTGTTAACCCCTCAGCCACACACACCTCCACCTTCAAGAGTGGTCCCAAATACTCCCGTCAAACCGAACCAAAATGGTCTGTTCCATTTGATTTCTAACCAAAATGTTCCGGAATTTTGGGCTGAATGGAAGGGGCCCTTTGACTTGCCCAGCTGGATCAACTCATTCAAAGCGGGGCAATATGAAAAACAGTCAGCTCTTGGCTCAGGCAAAGGGATCAACTTTTTCTCATACAGATGCTCGCTTAAGTTGACTCAGCTGGAAGGGTGACCCTCTTTCCCGGAACAACTTTTCTCCATAAATACAGGGCCTATAGTGAACCAAAAATTCGTAACTTACATCCCTACGTGAGAAGACGAACATCCCCACCTATTTGAGGTGCAATTCTCCCCCTCCCCCACCCCCCGGAACTAAGCTTGATAAATAACGCTGAAAAACGTTAACTTAAAGGTTTTTTCTCTTTGGAACAGGTTCAAACTACGACCTCTGATAGGCGAAGATGACAAAAGATTTAATACGTTTAAGTCCTATATCTAAGTAAAGTTAAGCTTTGGGAATTTAAGCACGGCATGTATTAGAGCAAGTCAGCTCGCCATTTGTAGCCTCACATGCCGATACATACACCCCTTCTATTACCTTCCAGTAGCCATGATTTTGTCCAAACATTTTCTCATTACTTTTCTAAATGATTCCATTCTTCTTCCTTCACTTTCCTCCTGTTTTTCTAAAGAGGAACACTCTTTCAGCGAAGAACTTCCCTCAGCCATTTTGCCTTCCATTTTTGCCGCCACTCGACCCAGGGCAACTCTATAATCAAA